AAAAAGAGAAAGCTCTGCTTCAGACCATATAACTCAGTCCTACCAGAGACTCTAAAATTTCCACTCCTAACCACTGCACATGCATTAAACCACTGGTCTACTGACAAAATGATAGCATTCATGAATCAACATTGGTGACGGAATATTAACAAGACCATAAAAAGTACCTACCTCACTTGTCCCACTTTTCCAAAATACAGCCAAGAGAAGCCTGTTTGAACTGCTCCTGGATATTTTAAACTTCCTGATGAACCACTCTTGGTTTGGCAAATGGGTTTGATACCATTCCCCCATCTCATAGAGATAAATATGTTTTAGTCATGGCCTGTGTGTTTTCTGACTGGACTGAAGCCTTCCCTTGCAGACAGGCCACTACCTCTTCTGTGGCTAAAGTCCTTGGAAAAGATTATCCCTTCTTGGAGAACTCCTCTTGAACTTCATAATGATCGAGGAGCCCATTTTACTGGTCAGGTACTTCAGCAAGTCTGCACTATTTGGCTGGTTTTACAATACTTTCACTGCACTCACCACCTTCAATCCTCTGGTTTAGTTGAACACACTAACAGCATTATTAAGACTCGCTTGGCAAAGTTTGTAGAGACCCTGCAGTTACCTTGGCCAAAAGCATTCCTGTTGGTCATTCTTAATCTCAGATCCACCCTTTTTGGAACTCATAAAACTCACCCTTTGAGATTGTCACAGGACACCAATATTCTTGGCTCCTGCCTCTTTGGACTCACAGCTGATAAAAGGAGATATACTCCAATATTGCAATGGCCTAATTGCTTCTATAAACAATAACCATGTTTTGGTGGAGTAGTCTTTCACAGTGTGCTCCAGGGAGATAAAGACTTTTAAGCATCACACCTTGCAACCTGGAGATTTCACCTATTGGAAAAGACACCTCCAGAAGGACTCTGTTTAACCTTGCTGGAAAGGCCGCTATCAGATACTATTAACCTCACCAGAAAGGCCCTCTATCAGATACTATTAATCAACCCTTGTGCCGCAAAACTCAAGGGAATAATCTCTTGGATTCATGTGACATACCTAAAAATAGCATGAAACCCTGACTGGACCTGCACATCATCTGGTGCCTTAAAAGTAAAGATTTCCCAGAATTGAAGCAGACGACACCTGATGAGACAGCTTTCCCAAGATGTTCGGACCAGGCCTGTTGGAAGGTTGTCTGCCAAATCTTTGATGATGATGTAACTCTTCGGACGATCTCTAATGCCTATGATCTTGATTACATATGGACTTTAGAAAAGAAAGAGTTCTCCTATTCTATGCCTCCTTAGTACTCGATGTGGCCACATTAGGTTTCTAATCCATGCACTTTCTCTCCAATGTGGGACATGATGCTCAGGAAATGTCCTTCCTGGCATCAAGGGACAAAAGGCTGCTAGAACTGGAAAAAAAAAAAATGACTCTTGATTAGCTATGCTTTTAAAGATCTCAATCAGAAGGGGAAATGTGAGAATTAACAAACAGAAACCATATTAAAATGGAGTCAGGAAGCCAAATGGGGGAGCTCTCATGCCCTAGATCAAGTGCAGAGCCCAACAGGAAGAAGAAAGACGACTTCTTAATTAGCAAGAAGCTCAGCCAATGAGAGACTGTCACAAGTCAGCCAAGAAAAAGCCATTACACTTTGAACTCCCAGATTCCTCCAGTAGACTCCTTATTTACACAATGTATAAAGATATAATCTATGACACCAGTAACATAGAAGGGGGGAATGGAGATGTGTAGGAGAAGAGTTTTTGTATGCTATTGAAGTTAAGCTGCTATAAATTCAAATTAAATTGTTATAACTAGGATGTTAAATGTAATCCCCATGATAACCACAAAGAAAATATCCATGAAATACACACATAAGGAAATGAGGAGAGAATCAAAACATTTCACTACAAAAATAAACATAAAAGATGGTAGCAATGGAGGAAATGAGGGACAAACAAGCTATATGGCACATAGAAAACAAATAGAAAAATGGCAGAAGTCCATCCTTATGACTAATTACTTTACATTTTTACATGTAAAGTAATTTAAATGCTCTAATCAAAAGAGAGATTAACAGAATGTATTAAAAAAAAAACATGGTCCAACTACATGCTGTCTGTAAGAGACTCACTTTAGATTAAAAAAACACACATAAAAGTTGATAGTATGGGAAATGATGGGAAATGATATTTCATGCAAATAGTAACCAAAAGAGAGATGGAGTGGCTGTACTAATATCAGACAAAATAGACTTTAAGTCAAAAACTCTTATAAGAGACAAAGAAGGATATTATATAATTATAAAGGGTCAATTCACCAAGAAGATAAAACGTTTATAAACATTTATTCACCAAACATCAGAGCTCCAAAATATATGAAGCAAATATTGATAGAACTGAAGATAGAAAGAGACAGCTCTACAATAATAGTAGGAACTTCAATACCTCAATTTCAATAACGTATTAAACAACTAGATAGAAGATAAATAAGAATAGATTACATGAACAACACTACATATCAATTGAACCTAACAGAAATATACAGTACACTCCACCCAACAACATAATACACATTTTTTTCTCAAGTGCACGTCGAATTTTCTCTAGGATAGCCTATATGATAAGCCACAAAACAAGTCTTAATAAATTTTGAAAGACTGAAATCATACAAAGTATCTTCTCCAATCACAATAAACCTAGAAATCAACAGCAGAAGGAAACTAGGAAATTCACAAATATGTGGAAATTAAACAACAGACTCAAACAACCAATAGGCCAAAGAAGAAACCACAAGGGAAATTAGAAAACTGAGATGAATGAAAATGAAAACACAACATACGAAACTTACGGGATGCAGTGAAAGCAGTGCTCAGAGGGAAACTTATAGCCTTAAATGCCTACATTAAAAAAAAGAAAAAAAGACCTCAAAATAACCTAACCTCACACTTTAAGGAACTACAAAAAGGAGCAAACTAAGTCCAAAGCTAGCAGAAGGAAGGTAATAAAGATTAGGGCAGAAATAAACAAAAAAAGAGCATAGAAATACAATAGAGAAAATCAATGAGACCAAAAGTTGGTTCTTTGAAAAGATCAACAAATTGGCAGCCAGACTGGCAAAGCAAAAAAAAAAGAGAAGATCCAAGTAATTAAAATCAGAAATGAAACAGTACTACTACTGACCTTACAGAGATAAAATTAAGATTATAGGTAAGTACTATGAGTTGTACACCAATAAATTAGATAACCTAGAAGAAATGAACAAATTTCTTGAAACTTACAAATTACCTAAACTGATTCAAGAAGAAATAAAATCTCAGCAGACCTCTAACAAGTAAAGACTTTGAATCAGTAATCAAAAATCTCCCCAAAAAGAAAAGTCAGAGACCACCAATTGGTAAATTCTGTCAAACTTTTAAAGAAGAATTAACACCAATCCTTCTCAAACTCTTCCAAAAAAACTGAAGAGAAGAAACATTTTGTAACTCATTCTATGAAGTCAGCATTACTCTGACACCAAAGACATCAAAAGAAAAGAAAATTATATCCTTTATTAATATAGATGTAAAAATTCTCAACAAAAGATTAGCAAATTGAACTCAACAGCATATTAAAAGGATCATTCACCATGACCAAGTTTGATTTATCTATGAATGAAAGGATGCCTCAACATAAGAAAATTAATCAGTATAATACTTTACGTTAGCAGAACAAAGGGAAAAAACCACATGATCATCTCAATTGATGCAGAAAAGGCGTTTAACAAAATGTAACACCTTTTCATGACAAAAGCCCTTAGAAAACTAGGAACAGAAGGAAATTTCTCAACATGATAAAGGGTACTTATAAAAAAAAGTTAACTTCATACTCGATGGTAAATGACTAAGCATTTCCCCTAAGATTAAGAACAAGACAAGGATGCCGAATTTCATCACTGTTATTCAGCATTGTACTGCAAGTTACAGCCAGAGCTATTAAACAAGAAAAGGAAACAAAAGCCATCCAAATTAGAGACAAAGACATAAAATGATCTGTATTCACAGATGACATGATCCTATTGACAGAAAATCCCAAAGAATCCAAAAGAAAGCTACTATGGCTAATAAATGAAGTCAGCAAAGTTGCAGGCTACAAGATCAACAAACAAAAATCAGTTTTGTTTCTATATACCAGCAAAGAACAAACCAAAAAGTAAGTTAAGAAAGCAATTCCATTTACAATAACCCCTAAAATAAATACCTTGTAATAAGTCTAACCAAGGAGGTGAAATACTTGCATACTGAAAACTATAAAACATTGCTGAAAGACATTAAAGAAGACCTAAATAAATTAAAAGACATCATGTGTTAATACATAAGACTTAACATTGTTAAGATGTCAGTACTACCCAAAGTGATCCAAAGATTCAATGTAGTCCCTATCAAAGTTCCAACATCCCTTTTCACAGAAATGGTAAAGCTGATCCTCAAATTTATTTGGAATTCCAAGTAATTTATTTCGAATTCTAACTTTAATCATCTCTTCTCTTAATTTTCATATTTTCTGCTTAAAATGTTCTAATTCACCATAAAACAGTAGTTCTAATTCATCATAAAACCTATCCTATTAATATTGCTGGTAAATATCTTGAAAATAGGTGAGTCATTTTGCTTTTATCCATTTCATCCTATCAAGCTACTACCAACATATTCGGCGTTAAATTATACTTTGACCAATTACACATCTCATTCTACAATTCGAAAATTAGTTGAAGTCTATTGCAGCTGTAAAGATGTAAAAGCTCTATCAATTTCATACTAAAAAGTGGAGAAAATATAAAATAGTGGAGCACTGACAAAGCTATCAAACTTATGTCCTATAGATGTAGATACTATTAATGGCATCATCTTTGTGTACCAAGGATAGCAGCTTCCACATATCTAGGTACAAGTAGTATTGTGTGCATATATTATGTCATGTTTCTTTTTCTAGCTCTGAAAATACCGTAAAATATCTTACCCATTGCTGTTAACTTCACTGCATCTAGCATGTTTTCACAGGCAGCCAATTCCTGTCAATTAGAGACAACTTTCAGTTTTTGCTTTAGTAAGAAATTCTTGAGATGATAATCATGAAGGTTTTATTGAGCATTTATTAACATGATGTCCCGGGCAGTAATAAAAGTGAGTCAGACTTAACCCCAGTCATCTAGAAAATTAAAATCTAAAACAGTACATGCAACAACAGAATATGTAGAGAGAGGATTAACTCCGTCTATACCTCACTCTATGAAGCTCAATTGTCTAGGTTAACTAGCCTTGAATAAATACAACCAGAAATGAGGAAGTAAAGCCCGAAGAGTTTCTGAGCATTCAAGGTAGATGTCACAAAGTCTATGTAAAAAAAAAAAAGCTCACAAACTGTACAGAAAAGTCTGTCATGTATGCCTGTGAGGTGTTTTTCCCAGTTAACTTTAGACTTTGTTTATTTGGCTTTTTAATGTATGATTTTTTTACACATTCAAATTAAGTCTTCATGGTTTGGATCTCATGCTTGGAAAGGCATTCCCCACTTTCAGATTATAAAAATAATCACTCTTGTTCTCTTCTTAATTTCTTTTTATTAATTTTATTTTTTCAAGTTTTATTGAGATATAATTTGAAATTGTATTAGTTCAAGGTGTACAACATAATGATTAGATATATGTATATATTGTGAAATGATTACCACAGTAAGTTTAGTTAACATCAATCATCTCACAAAGTTGTAAATTTTTTTCTTGCGATGAAAATTTTAAGATCTACTTTCTTAGCAACTTTCAAATATACATTACCGTATTGTTAACTATAGTCACTATGCTATACGTTAATTACATCCCAGAACTTATTTATTTTATAACTGGAAGTTTTTACCTTTTTATCACCTTCACCCATTTTCCCCCCCCCCCCCCCCACCTGCCACCTCTGGCAACCACCAATCTATTTTAAGTTCTCAATCTTAATAATTGATTGATTTGTTTTGATGTAAGAAGTGAGGTGGAATTTCACCTTTATCTTTCTCCCCCAATTGTCCCTACACCATTTATTGAATAACTCATCTTTTATTAACTGATTTGAAATGTCCAATTTATCATATACTACATTCTCATATATGTTTAAGAGAACTTCTGGATTCTCCATTCTGTTCCATTGATCCATCTCTGCATCTATGGTAATAGATTACCACAATATTTTAATTACTTGCAGCTTTATAACATCTGGTAGGGATCATCTCCCCTCATTATTCTTCCTTTTGGAATTTTTCTAGAAATACTCACATGTTTATTCTTCCACATAAAAGTTTGGGGATTTTGACTGGAATTGCATTAAATTTATAATGAAAAAAGGCTTTTAATATATTTAAAGAAGATAGCAAGGGCCAGATTTTGTAGAGTGGTGGTAAGAAATTTGAATTTTATTCTCAATGTAACCATAACCCAATGGAGCTTTGAGCATTTGGGCTGCTGTGTGGAGTACCTCCCCTATGACTTTGTAAGCTGCTTGATGGCACTGACTATAATTCAGTAAGCCTTGTATCCTTTATAGTACTTATCACGTGCCTTTCCTCTAATATGCACTCAATGTTTGTATAATGAACAAAAATCAGATAGTAGTAGTACACAGCTCTTATCCGTGGATCACCAATGGTCCAAAAACCACACTTTGAGAACCACCATGATAAAAGGCCTTGAATGGAAAGTCTGGTAAACAAGAAGTTATGACTGCCTAGCTATGAAATAACTAGATCCCCAATAATGCTGTGATGTGGTGATTAAGAATAGGATGAAACAGGTGCGTACAGAGGATATTGAAAGAATTTTAGAGGCAGGACAGTAAATAAAACCTGCAAAGTACTCAGCTAAGCAATAAATTACTATGATGGCAAACTCTCAAAAATTTCTTTGCAAAAAGAGAATGCTTTGCAAACTTAGCAATGAACAGAAGTAAAGACAAATGGACATATGCATATTAGAGAAAAACATAAAGCTCAAAGCTAATTAATCATTACATTCATGTCTATGATGCATAGTAGGTAATTTAGCTTTCCTATTATTTTTCTACCGTGAATATTCATTAAAATTATTCCCAGAAAACTCCTAGTGTATATTCAGGTACATGAGGCAGATTGGGAAGTAAATATGGTCGGGAACTGTACAGATACAGGTTCACGGAAGTGGGAGGGTCTAGTGATATATTTTTTCCTTGGTGATAGTAATGGGCACTGTTTGGAAAGCTAAGGAAAGTAAATTTTCGAAATAGAGAGACTCACTCTCATTCAATAATAAATGTATTAATTTCCAACCGGGTGTCAGATACTATGCTACAAAAAACTTTAAAATTATTTTTTACCTGGAAAAATGTACTTCTGGAATAGTTAACATGTTGGGCATAGTATTCTGATTGATGATCTAATCATGCAAATTAATGCCAGTTAGAGAAATGATGTGGGAACTTGTAGGGATAGAATAGAATAAAAGGCATGGAAGGATAGAGACCCAGTTCTTACAGATCTGTAATGGGGCTTTGCATCATTTCAACAGATGGATATGTTGAAAACTAGAAAACTTTTTGTTATTTTATTTTGGCCATTAAGACACATTCTCTAATCAAAGGGAACAGAAACTTGGCCTGATTTAAACGAGATTTATATATATAAGTAGATGTCAACATTTTCATTACAAAACTCTTTTATAAGGTTTCCTTATCTATAACCTGTGCCTTGTTCCAGCCACATATTTACTCCATTAAAAATCTAGGCTACTGCTTTCATATTGGCTTTTCTATAGAATTCTTTAGGCTGTGCATCACATAAATGATTGCCTTGAGTGCCACAGAACTCTATCACAGGAACTACGGCTGTTACTTTGCTCCCTTTACTTTCCAATAAAACCATTCAAATGAACTTTTAAATCAGAAATTTTGAATCCAGCTCCTTGGACTCCTCGAGGCTGTCTGTGGATGGACTTCAGAAGTCAAAGAACTGTACGGAAAATTTGTTGTGGATGAATATTGTTTGCTGGGTAGTCAGTCATTAGCTTCTACAAGTGAGTGTGGTCTTAAAAGCTACAAGATTCCGTACTCTAAAATCTTAGCTATCAATACCTAAAATTCTATCACAGGTCATTTGTATCACAGCATTCCTTTTTTCAAAGATCCTCTTTTAAAGTCAAAATTTCCCCAGGAGAGACAACACATTAAGCCCCTGAAATTTCCATGAATTATTTCCCCTATGACTTTTTGAGCCCTACTATAAGTCAAGCAATTTATGTGTAATCATTTTATGTTAATGAATCATTACAACCACCTTTGGATATTGATAGTACTATGATCTTGATCTTAGATGTAGAAGTTGAAGTTTAGAGAGGTTAAGTAACTTCCAGAAAGTCGCGTACATGGGTCATAATTAGCAGAGGTAAGATTCACACCCAGCCTATGCCTTCCTTACCCTCAGCCCTGAACTAATACCACGAAGCGCCACGGAATAAGGAGAAAAAAGCTTACTTTAATTAGGCGCAGGATTTCTGGGCAGTCTCGAGCCTCCGCAGGTCTTATTCGGAAAGAATTCATGCCTGGTTCCCGGGAGGCTGATAGCCTCGCGCCTGCTTGGCTCGGACCTGGTTGGCTCGGACCTGGTTGGCTCAGGCCTGGTTGGCTCAGGCCTGGTTGGCTCCTGCTTGTTTGCCTTGTGCCTGATTGGCTTGGGCCTTGTTGACTCAGGCCTGATTGGCTTGAGCCTGGCTGACTCATGCTTGATTGGCTCCACTCTAGTGAACTCAGGCCTAGTTGACTCATGCTTGATTGGCTTTGGCCTGTTTGACTCGTGCTTGATTGGCTCCAGTCTAGTGGACTCAGGCATAGTTGACTCACGCTTGATTGACTTGTGCTGGGTTGGCTCGGGACTGGTTGCCTCATGCCTCGTTGGCTTGTGCTGGGTTGGCTTGGGCATGGTTGCCTCATGCCTGGATCACTCAGGCCTGAGTAGTTGGGGCCTGGTTGCTTCCTACCTGGTTGACTTGTGCCGGCTTGACTCGGGCATGGTTGCTGTTGACTCTTTCTTGACAGGTTCATGCATGATTGGCACATGACTTGTTGCCAGAGGACTGATTGGCTTGGGCCTGGTTGGCTCAGGCCTAATTGGTTCATACCTGGTTGCCTCATTCCTGATTGGCTCATGCCCGGTTGTTTCATGCCCAGTTGGTGGGTGTTGGGTAGGCTTGTGCTTGGTTGGTTCATGTCCAGTTGGTTCATACCAAGTAAACTTGTGCCTGGCTGGCTGGTGCCTGGTTGATTCATACGTGGTAAGCTTGATTGGTTCATGCC